ATTATTTAAATATAACTCTATTCCTTTATATATCAGGTTAAAATGATGTACTTTACCTGTCTATAGCAGATAAGAAAGCCAGTGTTTATTCATTACCTCCCAACATCTTTCTCTATTTTCCTTCCATAACATAATGAATTCCTTGTTATAATGTGTTGGCTATGCTAGTTCTAAATTGTCTTGGTTTTCTAAATGAGCATTCTATCTTATGTACAATATATTGTTTACAAATAACATACTCACAATAATATGACTTAGAAAGGTAGAAAACGAGTCTGGCAGAGGCATAGTTCTGGTTGTTGTTGTCTTTGTTCTTCTCAGTGCTGGCCTTTTTGGCCATGGGTGATTCATTCAGCTATCACTTGGCCAAAGTTGTTCCTCAAGTGGTTCTTCTACAAGTGCTAATAAAACCACGTTTTGGGGCACTTGGTAATTGTTCTATTGCTGGTATATTTGTGTCACAGTTTTCTTGGTTAAGAGTCATTTTGTATCAAACTTTCTTCCCTGAGGTCTTGTTTAGATTTCACTCACATGTCTTCTGCCTGTGAACATTGGAACATTGGAACATTGGAGACTGTGCTAGAATTACTCCCATATCTAGGTGATAAGTCTTTTTGCTTGTGTGCCCTAAGGATTATTTCTTTACCTTTGAAGCCCCATGAATGACATCACCAGGATATATTTCAAAAATGATTGTTCTATAGTAGCTTTTCTTCAGACCTAGCAGGTTCTTTTCCTCCATGGGTTCAAGTGATATTAATTAAATAAAACTTCCAATAATTTCCTTTCCATTTCTTTAGTTCTCTTCTTTAGGGAAAGCAATTATTTATATGTTGCCTCTCTATCATTTCTCTTCTTTAACTCTTTGGTTCCGTGGTACTTGTTTGGCCTGCTCCTTTCATTGATGACCTCCATGTCCTTGCTGGGCTGTCAGCAAGAACAGCTGTCCTTTGTGCTGCTTCTAATGCAATCCTCATTTATGTAATGGTTCTGTTTTCCTTCTCTGATTCTTCCCTGAGCTCTGCTAGCGTTTGTTTCCCGGAGCCCTTGTGCTTGATGATTGCAGGATTTTCTTTCCACATGTGGCAGTATGTTTGGTCATCACTTGGTGGCACTGTTTTTTCTGTTGAGTGTTCCCTACCTGTTATTGAAAACATTTTTTCTGTTCCTATATATTTTTTCTTTTTCACTTGAGGTAACTTTTCACAAGATTTTTCCTTGGTAGTGGTGGTACTGCTGCATCCTCCTTCTCCTCCTCCCTCCCCTCCTGCACTCCCCCCACTTCCTCTTCCATCTTCTTCTTCTTCATTTTATTACTATTAGTTACTGCGTTTGAGTGAAATGCACTATTTTTCAACCAACTATTTGTAGGAGATATGTGCCAGGGAGCGGCAATATTCTAAACCAGCAGGGATTCTCCACAGTGTTATTATGAGGCTTTGTGTGTGTGTGTGTGTGTGTGTGTGTCTTTGTCTGTGTCTGTGGGTCTGTGTGTGTCTGTTAGCCTTTATTTCTTTCCAGCCAGCAGTGGGCAGCAGTTGTAGAGCTGCTCACAGTTTGCTCTCTATCACCCACGTATCCTTTTGCCATGCCTGTACGTTTCCTCATTCAACTTCTCCTTCTCTGCTATTCCTTGTGCGCCAAACTGGGTCCAAGGTAGCTCCTCACACCAGCACATGCTGCCTCGTCCGTTTTCCCATGTAATAGATGGTGGATTTTTTTCCCTATCTGAGTAAGCTTTGGAGAACTGTATTCCTCAAGCTTTATCTGAGATTTGCAGCCATGGGCCTCTCTGGGGATCTTACCTCACCTCTCTCTGGTATTTGTAGCATTTGGCAGCCATTCCTCATATAGTTTTGATTTGAGATTACAGTTTCTCTTAGTATTTACGTGTGTGTTTCTGTTTCTTGTTCACCTGTTTTGAGAGGATAATTTCAGAGAAGAAAGGTCAGGGTTTCCTTAACATCATTCTATGTTGACAGATAGTAACTGCACTAGATGGGGATGAGGAGTTAATAATAGGGGTAACTGTTGAACCACTGTGTTGTACATTTGAAATCAATATAGGATTATATATCAATGATACTTAAATAAATATAAATTTAAAGAAGAAAGGGTGGAGATATCTTTACTATCTTAAATGCAAAATCACAATATTCTCTTATACCTCATATTTGTAACTTCTCCTGGAAGAATGTACATTGCTATGATTTGTTTGACTTTATGCTTTTGTTGCTTCTCCAAATACTTTTTCTTCACTCTATCTGAAAAGACTCATTTGAGATGTCATCTAAAGTTCTTTCAAATCTCTTGTATTGAGAGATGCCATCTGCCCTGTGAATTTCCAATGTAGAAATAGCTTTTGTTTCTCTTACTTGGTTTGCTGCTGTAACAAACCAACTCCAAAATGTATAGCAGCACACATCAAATGGAAGTGTATTATCCACTCATGCTGTACAGGACAAGTGTTTGTCGATTGGCATGTGGTTTGTAATAAGCAGTGATTTTAGACCCAGACTCTCCCATCTACCGTGGCTTCCATGTAGCTTATATATATCAAGCCAACAGAAGAGGGAAGAACCTGGAGAGGTGGGATGGGAGATTTTATAGGCCAGAACTGTGGTGGAAGTACATCCCCTCTCCTCTTATTTTCTTATTTAGCAATAACTAGCAGAGATTCTGAGAAATGTAGTTTAGCTGTGTGGACCAGAAATGGTGGAGGAGAAGGAATTGGGTTTTGTGAACAGCTAATTGTTGCCCCAGCTTGCCTATCAGAAATGTCCAAGTGGCCAAAGGAACCTGTTTCTAACCAAATTCATCTTTTCATTCATTCAACAAGTATGTATTTTATTCCATTTACAGATTGATTACATGACTTCATTAGTCAGTTATCTTAACCCCTATCATAGGAATGATAGTTACTTTTTGCACTGTTCTGGAAGAAAAAAATGTCTTAGTTGAAAAAAATCCTCTGTGTCAGCTGAGACATTTGCCCTTTTTTGAAAACATTGACCTCTTTAGTAAAGAGGAAAGTAAATTAATAATTCCACAAGGGCCAGTAGTTATAGAGTCACACAATATTGTATCAATCAAGTTGGATTCACCTGCAGAAATGCATTCTTCCATATTACTTTCCACACATTTTTTCCAAGTCATAAATGTATGTGTCCTCCAAAGAGAATTCAATGACTACAATTTAAAAATAAGCTTTTAATAGTTGAATATACTCAGCTCAATTAAATCTGGAAGATGTCAGTGATGTGTACATGTGGGTAGGCGCAAGTGTATGGGATGAGAAGTTGTTTAATATTACACACGTTTTCAGTAATAAAATCCAAGTCAGTGTTACATCTTAATAGCCAAGTGGTTAGTGTTCACCCATCTCTTCTTCCAACCACCCCCATTAAAATGTGCTAATAAAACAACTTGTATTCCTGCACCATACAGAATAAGAGTGGGCTTTGTTTTGGCTGAGCTATCCCCTAACCCATCTCTGCAACTATAATTTACTTGTGTTATTAATACTGTTCCTTCTTTTCCTATTGCCCAAGTGGAAATAGCTCAGGGGCAGACTATTTTTATCATGCCACTTGAGAGATAGAGTAGCCCTCAGCAAGGCATACTTGGAAACAAAAGAGCCATTGTGTCCCATGGAATGTCTATACAGGAAAGGGCGCAGAAGGAACTGAGCCACTTCAGGACTGTTCCTGAGACCCTTGGATGTCCCCAGCACCTATTGTGACCACACTGTTTAGCTTCCTCAGATGCCCATTCCTTTTCCTTCCCTTCAATAGATGTTAAATGTGCGTGTGAACTAGCATCCTTTCTTTTTGGTAACATGCCTTAGGAAGAAAAAACACCTTTTGAATTAGGAGATTGCTTACTCTTTATTTACTGTTAGTTTATTGGTTATATTTATCATGATCAGAATTTATTATATGTAACAAATTCAATGAATGGTTCTCAAATTGTGGCTTAAATATTAGAGATGTTTATCAGGGCACAATAATAGTTCTTTTTATTTATTTAAATACATTTTCTTATTTAATCTTCATCATAATATGATGAGGTAAGGATTATAGTCCGATATTTTACAGATTGTAAAACTGAAATGTAGAGGGGGAAAATGAACTGAACTCTCTACAATCACACTGCTAGTGGGGGAAAGGCCAGACTCAAGCCCAAGTTAGTAGGCATTGACCTGATCAGACTCTATCCCAGTAAAACGAACCAGAGCAGCTTCACTGCTATAATCAGGGTGACATGAGTTTCCCTTTTTTCTGGGTGTGTGACTGAAGTATTGAGCTTCTGGCTCACGTTTTTAAAAATCATTTCCATCATTATTCAAACTTTCCATAGCACTTATTTATTATAGTGATACTTTTTGGTGAGATTTAGCATGTATTGCCCAGAGAATCATGTTTTATTACTGTTTGACTTGATAAACACAAGCAGTGGTTCACACTGATTCATTTCTCCGTCCATTTTCCATTATGGACTGAGCCCTGTGGTTAAGACCCCAAAAATACTTGCTCTAGTTGTGTATGGCATTAGGTAGCACTAGGAGAAAAACCCAAATTGGTCCAGTTTGAATTTGGGTCTTGGACATTGTCCACAACTGGCAGGGGTTCACGGCTCAAGAAAGGCCACAGGGTGCCCAGGACAACACAAGAACGCACAGGAATTCTGACTGCAGTGTTGGCTCTAGGCCACAGGATGCATTGCTTTTCTTATATTCCTCAGGGGACCTATTGCTGTCTGATGAGGCTTTCTGTACAACAGCATGTGCCTTCACAGTTGGATGGAATGATTGGACCCCAAAGGCCTTCAGCCTCTTGGTATTTTTTATGCTGAGGAGCAGGGCCCATAAGTACTTATTACATAATGTAATTGTAATAATTAAAATAAAGACCAGTGGCTTTCGTGGCAGCTGATGTTGCTAAGTAACATCTCAGTGGTGCAGCCTACTGTTTTTAATATAAGACCTCCTGTTTTTCTAGGGTGATAGAGAAGCAGAGCTGGGGCTGCCTTTTTCTCCTCTGTGTGATCGAAAGTCGACCATGGTTGCTCAGTCGCAAGTAGGTACGTGTCTGCCAGTCTTCTGGATGGGAAGAAAAACCAGAGAAGAGTGCCTGGAAGCAAGCTCAGATGCTCCCAGTGATTCTGGGGCTGGGAACTTGGCTCTAGTCTGCTGTGCTCAGGGCCTCAGCTGGTTGGGTTGATGGAGCCTCTCTCCCCATCCTTCTCCCTGGAATTTGGCTGGTTCATGGGAAGATTAGACAGTGACACTCTGCTGTCTCCATCATTCCCTGTCAAGAGAAAAAGGAGCCTCAACTTTCCAACGTGGTGACAAGAACCAGTGGCAGGAAGCTCATTCTGCTGCAGCCCCCCCCACTCTGCGTGCAGTGCCCGACATCCCCACGGTGTTTCTCCTCACTGATGCTCCTTCTCGTCCTGTTCCAGGACAGCCCCATTTCCTCGGTGATCCTACTTCTAGGAATGACTCTTTTTAAGTGTTTCCTTCTTTCCTCTCTTCCTAAAAATATTTTTTAGCAGCATTTTTTTGGTGAGGATAATTTTTGTTCTGCTAATAACCATACTATGTATGCATTACAAAAATCCTCAGATATGAAAGTACCAGTGCTCTTCATAAATGAAATATCTTCATAAATGAAATGAGGTGATTTCTACCTCAGAAGAGTCTGAATCATTCAAAATATGAATTCAATGAGAGTGTATTGATTTTTTTTTGTAATTGTGTTTTGAATACTCATTTTTTAAATAATAATATATTGAGATTCTGCTAAGTGTAGGGTACTATAAGCCACATAATAGGTGTTATAAAAAATAGAGATAAATTATATATGGAACCTGCTCCCAAAGAAATTGAACCAGTATTGGGTGGTAGACAAGATGTCATGAAAACAAAATCTATTGGAGTGTTACAAGGCTATGGAAGAGTTTTGTGCATAGTACAGTCAGGTATAGAATAGTTTGTGTAAACCATTAGACTCAGACCTTTAGAAGGATAATATGTGAGTTGAGCCTTAAGAAATAAATAGGCAGGATCTAGGCAAATGGTATATGTGTTAGAGATGTGTTCTGGGGTGGAGTGGAAGGGCATTCCAGGTGAGGGATTAGCATACACTAAGCAGGAAAATTTAAAACAGCCAAGTATGGTCAGGGGATTACAAACAGTTTGATATCACTGGAGTAGTGGGTAAGGAGGACAAAGAAGTGAGGGACATGTGTGGAGAGAAAATGAGAACCAGATTACATACTGTATTAAGAATAGCATGTACTTACACATATGAGGGACTATCTAAAGGATTTTAACTAAGGTTAAAATATATATAAATTGGTGTTTTAGAAAAAGAGTTGGTTACCAAAATCCATGGGCTTACATCAGGCCTACCACTTGGTCCTTTAAATAGTTTTAATTGAACATGGCTAAATTCATTCATTTGCATATTGCCTGTGGTTACTTTTGCACTATGGTGGCAGAGTAAAAGGAGTTGTCATGGATGTGGCCTGCAAAGCCTAAAATATTTATTATCTGGCCCTTTACAGAAAAAAAACTGCCAACCCATGTTTTAGAGATATTTAATCTATCAGTAACTTGGACGATTTTGAGTAAAACTAGAGGCAAGGAAACGAGCTGGGTGCCCCCTGCAGGATTACAGGGAAGAGATGGTGAGTGTTTCTCATGCTGAGAAGGTATTACAGGGGCTCTCCAGGTGAGAGATGACATATAAGATATCAGAAATTCAGCTGGATGGGAAGCTGAGGTAAAGGCAGCAGTCTAGATTAAATGGCTGGATCATGGTCCTATTTCTAAGAGTTGGAAGGTAAGCCGGTAAGTGAGTTCTGGTTTGGACGAATACAAATTTGGTTATCACTGTTTCCTTATCATGATCCTATTTGATTGGGATATTTCTTGTTTTGTCAATAATAGTTTAGGACTTTTAGCATCCTCCATGGCTGGGAATTAAATGCTAGTATTGCTCCACCTCAGTCACTGTGAAAACCAAAAGGGCATTTGTACATTTCCAAACACCGTATTTCCTTTGATTGGCATTTCATTTCCTTCCAACTTTCACATGGCTGTGTAGTGAAACCAGTAGTTCCAGATCATGTGTTTTCTTGATGTGTCACAGAACACTTGGGTATTTTTGAGCCATCAAGACTGTGACTCTAGCCCAGCATCAACCATCTCCCCAAACTGGGGATCTCTCAAATGTACAGTTCCAGATCTGACCTTTCTCCCAGCTTCCGACCCTGTTTCTTCCACTTTGGTTTGCTCTCTCCCACCTGGATGTGCTCCCTATACCTCAAAGTCAATAGAACTAAACTGAGCCCATCGTCTTTCTCCCAGCCACATTCTCCCCCTTGTCCTGTGTGCTCTGCTCTGCCCTTGGAGGTCTCTGGCAGACCCCACACAGAGGCAGCACCATCGCCTGCTGTGCATGTCTCATGCTCCAGTACTGCAGCCCCTTACTGCGGCACTGGGTCCCGCCTTCCTTACTTCCCCTTTGAGCTGTTGCCCAACAGCTTCTAAAAGGATTTCTCAGCCTCAGCCCCTTCTTCTTTCTCCCTTCCTATCCATCTCGCCATCTTTCATTGCCCAAAGAACATTTTAAAAATTATATTGCCATCATGCCCAAACATCTCAAGGGGCTTCTAGTGCCCATCTAAGTCCCAACCCCTTAGCCCAGCCTTTAGGAGCCTCCCTCCCTGAGCTGATGGTGACCTGCCTTACCAAGTTTCCCCTCTCCTGACTCCAAGAGAATCCCGAGCCCTGGTTGTTCCTCAGGCACATCCTGTACTTTTCCCCATCCCTGTCACTTTGCCTATTCCATCCCCCGCCTCCTAGTGTGGGGAGACTTAGGGCTCAGCCCACATCACAGCCTCCACAGAGCTGTCCCCAGGCCGCCCTCCCTTACCTTCCCAGGGGCCATTATTTGCGCCTCTCCTTGACCCTTTCCATAGACTCTTGGGGCCATTTTTATGCTCAATTAATCTCGCTTGTAAACTCCTTGAGGACAGGCAGTTTGTGTTACACATCTCAGAATTTTACAGAGTGCTTCTCATAGCATTTGTGACATCGTGGATGTTGAATATGTGTTTCCTAAGCACTTTATTAAACTATCTCCTAAAAAGTCACAGGAAAGTTATGTAGGAAAAAATGGAACTGACTCATAATATTCAAATCAAGGAATATAATAGATGGATAAGACCAACCTATTGTCTTATAAGCTGATCTGGAGATCCTATGTAGATGAATTTTAAATGAAAGATAAGATTCATTCACTTCCATGGCAAAATATGGAAGGGCCAAGTTAATATGTAGCTCCTCTGAAGCACTGCTGTTTCTCTTTAGGTTTTATTGATTTCATTGTGGAACCCACTTTCACTGTGCTCACGGACATGACTGAAAAGATTGTGAGTCCATTCATTGATGAAACCTCCCAATCCAGCGGGGCAGGACAGAGGCGTTCGAGGTCAGTGTGAAGCCTAGAAGGCTGCGGGTCAGGTTGGCCTGTCCATGAGGACAGAGTTGTTCTTTCGGTAGAGATGGGGGTGGTACTACATGATGATGTTTACCTCCTTCTTACAAGTGAGATGCTGGCTTCTTCCCTTTTCTCGAAGGAGGTGAAGTTGTATCATCTATGCTTTCCAAGATGGCCTGGAAGGCAGCAACCCAGGCCAGCAGGCACCCATTACAGCCTCCAGCCTGCCCTGTGCTCTCGGGTGGCACTTTTGCTCACGGCAGCCCCCTAACTGCACTTTGACCTCTGTGCCCAGGCAGTCCTGGCTCCTGTGTTCCAAAAAGAAAGTACTGCTCATCAGAGGTATCACAAGAAGTGAGACTGACTTTCATTTCTAGGTTCAGGAAGAGAATGAAGTAGAAGAGAAAAAATACCCTGAAAGTTTTAAATCCTGCTCTGCTGCAACCTCATTAGGCTGAGTGCATGTGTAGTTCATGAGTGTAGGATTTGGAGTCAGATTGCCGGGGTAAACATCCTGACCCAGTTTTGATTAGGTGTGCAATGTCAGGAAAGTTGCCTTAGTTTCCCCATCTGAGCAAGTATGGATTGAAATACTCAGAGATTTTTAGGATGATTAAGTGAGTTATTCAGTCTATAGGAAGCCCTTGTAACAGGGTGCAGCCCAGAGGAAGTACAGCTACAGTATAGCTGACACCTGGTCCTCGTTAGCAGTTCTGCTGCTAGGAGTACTGCCCCTCTCCTCTTTGTCCATGTAAAACCTCAGGCTTTGTCAGAAAGGAGAAAGGGGGGAAATGGAATGAATGGGAAAAAGAGAATAAATGAGCAAGAGAAGGAATAAATTGGGAAAAGGGAAGGCTAGAGGAATATTAGGACAGTGGGACCCCAGGATGCCCAAGGTGGTTGGACCAGTCAGGGCTCCTCACAAGGAGGACAGAAGCCTCTTTCCTGAGTCTCACAGCCCTGCAAGCACTGGGCTGAAACCTACTCTGCTTGTCTAGTCAGCCTTAGCTGTCACTTGGTGAGTTTGCGTTCATGTCTGTCACTAATCCAGCCACCTGGAAGTGTGTGATGCTCTACAGTTTCCCAGAAGGATGGCACTTTCTATATTTGCAAAGTTGCCTGTGTTTAAAGATTAAAATAATATTCATATAAAAAGGGTCTTTTTTGTGACTGGTCTCCTACAATCTCCAGCTGTCTATGCCTCTCCACCTTCCCCGAGGAACATAAGGAAATCACCTTAACTCTGGCCTTGGGGAATCCTGGGATCAGGGGCGCTCAGGGGCAGAGGGAGGGGGAGCTAGAGAGAAAGAGGATGAAGCGGCTGAGGAACTTGGAAGACTGGTCGGGAGGTGGGTAGAAACAAGTGGGTGAACTGTGGAACCAAGTAGAAGTTCAAGTTCAAATTAGTTTAATTTCAGAGAGTTGAAGACAGAAGCTTCATGTGAGAAGATTCTAGTCATATTGACAAAGAGGACCGCAATCAACAGAGAAGAAATCTGGGGAATATTGATACATATGAGGCTGAAAATCTTGATTTTTTTTGCTGCTGAAAATACAGAATTTCCCACCTGTCACATATGAAAAATAGGAATTACAAACCTCAGGACGCAAGAATTTCAAGACGATAACTTGATGAGTGTTAACCACTCCTCTCTTGGGCTTGCTCATTGGGATACATTTTTCAAACACTAACCCTCCTCTTTGGTATGATTTTTTTTGTTGTTGTTCTTTAGTTTGAACAGCATCAGTTCGACAGATGCAAAGCGGTCAGGTGTCAAGAGTGCTGGCTCAGAAGGAAGTGCCCCCATCAGCAATTCTGTCATCCCTGTTGACTACAAGAGTTTTAAAACCACTTGGACAGAGGTGGTGCACATCAATCGGGAGAGATGGAGGGCCAAGGTGCCCAAAGGTAATGTGCTGTTGGGGGACCTTCCAGGATACCTGTCCAAACCACTTTGCACATAAAACAAAGCAGTGCCACCCCTGATTTATAGGTGTTACCAATGAAGCACAATCTCAGGATACAGATTCAAATTACTGAAGGTAAAGATCTACCATCTTTTGATCTTCATGGTATCTAATGCACAGTGTGTGAGAGAATGAGGCCAGCGGCTGTGCATCCCAGCAGCATGACCTTTGTGCTATATGGCAAAACTTCTCTTTTTGGCATGAAGGTTCTACAGAGGGTGAAGGTTATTTCTTGGTTTCTACTAAGCCATCTTGTCCTCCTCACTTCATTTCATATGGTACAACTATGCAGCATTTATTTCTTCTTTTACCTAAGTAAAGCCAGGCCAATAGCCACTTGGGCCATCATATTGGGCTAGAAGGACCTTTAATATCTTTACATGCATTTTTACCTCCGCTTCATGTTCTCTGTTTCCCTTCAGTCAATTCTCAGACTAACTGTGATGCAGGTAACTTGCAGGTAAACAGAAATTCACTGAGGCCAACATCAAAATTCAAGGCAGAAGAGTCATGACTCTTGGTACTACAAATAAAACAAAGACTGAAATCTGTGTGTTTTTTTTGTTTTTGTTTTTTAGATAATTATTTTTTATTGAAGGGTAGTTGACACACAGTATTACATTAGTTTCAGGTGTACAACACAGTGATTCAACATTTATATACATGATAATTCTAGGTACCAGCTATCACCATACCAAGTTGTTACAATATTTTGACTATATTCCTTATGCTATACATTACATCCCGATTACTTAATTATTTTACAATTGAAAGT